CCCCCCCCTGGATCCGCCCCTGCACAATATTTCTCTTTTTATTATAATCCAAAACGCAAGCCCATATTTCTTTCTTTGTCTCTGATTGGAATGAACCGACGTTAAGGACACAGAACATCCCCAGGGGGATATTTTGTTTTTAAGGAAGAAAATCGCTTCTAACCCAACTTAAAAGAAAACATTTAAATTCAAACAGTACATCTCGGTTATGTGTGAGAATTATTTAATTTCCAATCACACTGATGAAATTGGAGTTATTCTGGAAAGTCCGGAGGAAGACAAATGCTTTTCCCTTTCCATAAAGTAAGAGCCTTTCACTCTACCGAATAATTAAGTCCTGAATTTGCCTCAACTCCCATTGACTTCCATTAGCCGAAGCTCACAATCAGGCCTGAGTTGTATAGAGTTTAATATGTTCAATAGTTTCATAGAGCTTTACGAATCGGACACTGATCTGGGCAATGCTGTATTAACAGAGCCGGAAAACTCCCTGAAAATCTGGGATAAGGCAGCAATCAATGTCCAACTTAAGTTGCTGCAGTCGAGCCCCAATTACAGCCTGAAAAACAATGTCCATTGCCGCATATTCAATTTGCCCTCTTGGCCCCATGTGTCTCGAGCCATATTTCCGGGGAATAGGGATGCTAATAAGTTTTTACAACTAACAGGTTAAACACAAGAAACCCCCAGTCGGTTATCTTCAAATATCCACTTAACTGCCGTCTATTTTAGGTATAGTGTTGAGAATCTCGCCAAGAAAACTGCTTGAATATCAAAGACAATACTTTTGTGCCAAATGCAAGTTCCCCATTATCGTTGAAGTCCTTTACGATAAGAAGAATATTATTAAAAAGCCTACATATTGCTCAAATCCCGATGGATGCTCTAGTGAGTACCCACTGCTAATAACTAAAACGCTCGAAATAAATGAGGATGCTTTTGAATCTTCAAGCATTTCTTCATTGTTTAACGCAACGTTGTCTTGATTAATGCAAGTTTTCAGGTAAAAACATTGTTAATTTTGAGGAAATTGATGCTAGAAACTATAAAGATTACCAGGAAATCAAGATTCAAGAGGATCTATCTCAAATGGGTGTAGGAACCATGCCCAACCATCTGCTGGTTACGCTGGAAGATGACTTAGTTAATGTTTGTAAGCCGGGTGAAAATGTTACAATTACGTAAGGATTGCTGATGCTAGAAAATTTGATATAACTTTTCCCGCTGGATTTAAAACTGCTCTGATTTTCTTAGGGGCATAGTGAAGCGAAGATGGTCCGAGTTTTGTATCGGAGCCAAAATCGAAATTGATATAGTTTTACGAGCGAATCATGTTCAAGTGAATAACTCCAGCACTTTTGCTGAAGTGTCTGAAGATGTGCAGCAGTTTTTCAATGCGTTCTGGAAAACCCATCAATCCAATCCCTTGATTGGAAGAAACATAATATTAAAATCCACTGCTCCAGAGGTAAAAATCCGATTAACCGGCAGTCCCTTTAAGCGTTTAGTCAAATTTCAGATCTATGGATTGCATTTGGTGAAATTGGCAGTAGCGATAGTATTAGCCGGAGGCAGCCAAAGCAGCGCTCCAGATTCGACCACTGGAGTGGAGATACGATCCAATCCACATCTGCTTCTAATCGGTGATCCTGGAACAGGTAGCAAAGCAGCAAAAAGTTGAAATTTTAAACTGTTACTAACGTTTTTAAGGAAAATCGCAAATATTGAAGTTTGTCTCCAAAATAATTCCTCGTACTGTTCTGACGACCGGAGTTGGGTCAACGTCTGCCGGCCTCACAGTGGCTGCGTTAATGGTAACTTTAAATAAACAAGGCATTTTTCCATGTTAGTTTTCTGATACCGCAGGAAAATGGAGAATGGCAGTTGGAGGCCGGCGCTTTGGTGATGGCCGATGGAGGGTTGTGCTGTATAGATGAGTTCAATTCGATGAAAGAGCATGATAGGCATTGTATTCACGAGGCGATGGAACAGCAGACTATCAGTGTTGCAAAGGTGGGTTCAGGTGCAATCTGGGTTCCTTTATATGCGAGTTTTACATGCTGTTTTCCGCAGGCAGGAATTGTGTGCAAACTGAACACCCGTTGTACAATTCTGGCCGCTTGCAACCCCAAAGGGCGGATGGATCCTTTGCAGTCCTTGGACTTAAATTCTGGCATATCCAGCCCGCTACTTAGCAGATTTGACTTGATATTGCTGCTTCGTGATATCGCCAATGAGGACAGCGATCGCAAATTAGCCGAGTATATAATGGACAAAAGTTTTTTATCCAGCAGGGAGTCCAAATTGTGGACAGTGGATAAATTGCAGGTACTTAAGGTTTTTTTTGTACAGCCTGCAGGTCTTTTGTAACAGTTCCTTTGTACGTGATTTTGATGTTCAAGAACTGAGCTGAAACTTGCCACATGCTTGTGTTTTTTACTCCAGTCTTATTACGCGCTGATCAGGAATTTGACCCCAAAATTGTCCAATGATGCGGAAACCATTTTGAGCACTTACTATCAGCTTCTAAGGCAGTTTAGTTACAGAAACAAATCTCGAACCACAGTGCGGCTGTTGGAAAGCTTAATCAGGTACCAAATTTTCTTCTTTAAACATTTATGGGCCTTTGGGAGTTGTTTTCATTTGAAGATTATCACAAGGACACGCCAAACTGATGTACCACCTCGAAGTTTATGTGGTAGACGCGTTATTTGCGGTGGTCCTGACGGACGCAGCCTCAGACTCTCAGGCCTCATTTTTGGACTTAAACCTGGATAACAACTCGTTTTCGGATAATCCCGACCAATTATACTGGGAAGTGTTGGAAACTGTTTTGGGGAAACTTAATCTATACCACATCTATGAGAAGGAAGCTCGGAAACGGCCACCAAAGGAAGAAACAAGCTCGGGCTCCGAGTCTAGAGCTTCAACGGAAGATTTATCTTCTGGCCATGCACAGCAGCCTCGGATGTTACTTAGCCCGGTTCGTTTATCACAAGGCTTTTGCAGCCAGAGTTCAGAAGACCCGTCTACTTCGGGGATCAGAAAACCGTTAGAAGATGGAGAAAAGCGGCCTGGCCTTTTCGCTCAGGAATACACCTGGCTGAAAAGTCCGACGAGTGAATTGCCAGTGCAAAGTGATTTTGACCGGAGAGTATCAAGAAAAACCCCTGAAGATAGCAAAGATAGTGGAAATTGCAGTCGCTTATTCGGTGAATGTTTTAATTCAGAAACTTCTATCAACAAAAGTTCACTTCAAGAGGAAAGGTGCAGCATACGAAAAGCAGAAGTGGGATTAGATGGATCAAAAAATCAGCTTGATTCCAGGGATTCTGGATTGTCTAAAAGTGTTCAAAGTGGCACAAAAGACACAGATAAAACCCCGAGTTTATATGAAATAGTTAAAAGCCAACGCGATATGGACTTTGATCTAAATATTGATTTCCTATATTCCAATAATGGGGATGAGAGCGAACCAAAGAAATCCCAAAAGCGATGTTCAAAGCGTGTAAGTGAAACAGGCAGTAAATGTAAAAAGTCCAACAATAAAGAAGCTGAAAGGCCCTTATTTGAACTGCTTCCAAGTGATAACGACGATTTTTCAAACATTGTTGAACACATTGACTGGGATTTAGGGGAAGCACCGATTAAACCCTGTAGCGACACAGAAACTTTCAATAGCGGAGAAATTAGCAATAGCCAGTTGTCGCAACAGCTAGTTCCGTCCAGATTGATCGAAAATGTCGCAACTACCTCGAAATGTAGCCTTAGTAGTACATCACAAATTTGCACCAAGAACACTGTGAAGAACAATGAAGTGTTTAACTTAGATTTTGATTTGGACGATTTGGATTGTCCTTTTGAATCAGCCAATCCATTTGCAGGAACCAAGTTAAGAAAACTCACAGATAGTAAAGAAGATCAATGTTCCTTTACTAATTCTGATCGTGGGTTTTCCAAAGCTGCCGAAGAAAACCCGCAGAGCGCCGGAAAGCCGATTGTAAGGAAAAAGTTTATTTTCAAGAAAACACGCAATATGGATACATAATCTCTAGATTATTTTGAATAATTAATGTATTAATAAGAACTATTTTTTGAATAGAAATATTTTTCTGTGTGTCTTTTGCGTTTTATTTATCTGATAATGATCGCAAATGCAAGAAGTATTCCACCTATAAATTTTTTTCCGTTTAATAAATTTGAATTTGAATATAACAGATTCAAACAAGTGGCCCACAATCCAATGTTGCCCGATTTTGATTTTCGAAGGAGTGCCGGTAATTGTAAACAAATAATCAAAAAATAACAAATCAATATTTTCTGTTACGCAGAGTGTTTGGGCAGATCGCAGATCCAGAGGTTATCCAGTTAATCTTGGGAAAATGACGCACTCAGATTAAACAGGTTAAAACCGGCCCCAAACTCTAGGAAGTTTATTCAATAAAGAACAAAATGTCATCCAAGAAGTTGTTCAAGTTGAAAAATGACCCCCAAAACCCGCCCTGCATTAAGAAAAAAACCAAATTCATCTCAAGCGACCCAAAGGAAAAAATGTGCTTTGACTTTGCCGAAAGGCTCTTAACGAGTTTAAGCTTATTGAGGCAACGCCAGGTCTTTTGCGATGTGGAGATTAAGTTGGGCAGTAAAAGCTTTCATGTAAGATCTCATGAAACGTAACCGTTTTCAATAGCAAACTTGTGTCTTTTTCAAGGCGCACAGGGCTGTTCTGTCGGCAAGCAGCCCCTATTTCCATGCAATGTTCACTGGGGATCTGTGTGAGAAGAATCAGAAATGCGTGGAACTACATGGAATCAATCCCAAAATTTTTGAAATCATTCTGGAATTTATGTATTCAGGAATTGTTACTGTTGACAAGGACAATGTGGAAGACTTGGTGGTTGTTGCTGATATGTTTGAGATTGTGGAGATTATCACCGAATGCACCTACTTCCTTATTGATCAGTTGCATGAAACGAATGCTGTCGGAATTTTCCTGTAAGCCTGTGCTATTTAAATTCGGTCGGCACGAGCAAATGAGTAATATTCTGCATTTCTAAGGTTTGCAAGAGACCACAATATCCTCGAGCTGAAAGTCTCGGCTGTCCGTTTCATTGAGGAACACTTTCCGAAAGTAGCAGATGAAGACGAAATTTACGACTTGGACGTGGAAACATTCAGTCACTTTCTAGCCTCTGAGCAGCTGAGAATCGAATCGGAGAGCGAAGTGTTCAGTTTAGCCATGAAATGGATCAACCACGACATAGCAAATCGCAAGCAGTACGTGTTCAATGTTCTGCAGCAGGTGCGACTGCCTCTGATAGCATTTAGTGAGTTTTTGTGCTGAAGACACGCAGCTTGTTTAATATGGGTTAATTGCAGGCTGCTTGGAAAGGGCGATAGTGGAATGTCCGGACACCAGTTTAAAAGTGGCTCTCAAATCCGTTCACAAGGACATATTGAATCAAAAGGGCGCCTTAGTGCCTTTGCGCGTTTTGCCGAGACAGTGTGCAAAAAAGGACATTTACGTTATCGGCGGGTCAAAGCGAGAGCTGAACAGCGTTTGGGATAGAGGATTGGAAATTGACTACGTGGCCATCGAGAAGTTTGATACTTTCACAAGGTTTCCCTCATTTACCTGCCCATGGCTCAACTTACTAAGCAGCTTTCAATGTTTAGGAGATGGACCAAAGTCCCGGACATGCACGTGAATCGCATTGTTCCAGGCGTGGCCGCTCTTAATGGTTACATCTATGTGGTGGGCGGAGAAGAAGGGTCCAACATCCTTTCCAGCTGTGAAAGATTCGACACTGTAACCAAAACCTGGACGGAAGTGGCCAGCATGCTGATTTCGCGCTGCGAATTCGGCTTGTGTGCCTTGGATGGGTATTTATATGCAATTGGAGGATGGGTTGACACGGACATTAGTGGGTCCATTGAGCGTTATGACCCGAAGAGCGACTGCTGGGAATTGATTGGGGAATTGCCCGAACCGAGATTCAGCATGGGGTTGGTGTCTTATGAAGGTCTGCGGCTTGCGGCAGCAAAAGTGAACATGTAGAAAAGACTCGGGCATTTCAGGCTTAATCTACATGGTGGGCGGATGTTCAATGAACCAAAGAAACCTACACGACTTCGTCAGCTATAATCCAGCCACGGGGGAATTCAAACAACTGGCTTCAATGTCAATAGCACGCTTCCAGATGGGAGTGGCCGTTTTAAATGGCTGTCTGTATGTGGTTGGCGGCACCCACAGGCAGGAAGTTCTCAATTCCGTTGAGCGATACTCCTTCAGAACGGTATTATTGATTTTTTCCACTAGCAAGGACTGTTGTTTATTAGCTGTATTTATAATTCCAGAACAAGTGGCAAACGGTGGCAAATATGAAGCACGAAAGAAGCGGACCAGCAGTTTCCGCCCTGGATGGTTATCTGTACGTTATAGGTGAGTTTTCCAGGGTTTTCCCTGCTTGCTTTGTTAAAGACGGAAAAGAATCGGTTTGTACTGAACCAGAATTGGCATTTATTTAAGGAGGCGCACAAAATCACTCAACTCCATTTTACCGAGCGCAGTGCACGATATCAGCAGTGGAATGCTACGATCCCTTAAAGAATAGTTGGGCGGACTGTCCTTCATTGTCTGAAACAAGGGCAGAGGCTGGAGCTGTTGTTATATGATCTCGAATTTACCGGTAAGGAATACTTTTCGGATGCAGGTATTAAAACATTTTTTTGGTGAGAACAATATATTTTTAATACCTGCATTATCAATCGGCAAGTCGGCAATAGGAATTGGGAAATTTTACCTTGGCCCTCTTCATTTCGCGATTTATGAAGTAGAGAGCCGTTTGGCTTTATAGACGTAGCGGTTTTTTCAACGATTTTGATTAGTGGGTTMTTTTCTTGAAGGACATGTAATGGTTTGCGCACAGTTCTCGAACATTCGCTAGCAATAAGCGCATTATTTTACAAATATGTAAGTGAAAATCAGGGGCGGATCCAGCTTTAAAGTCAGGGGGGGGGGGTTATGTAGGAAAAATACAGTCTTCTGTTATCTATGAAATTAGAAAAATTATCGTCGTTTTGTGCAAGGGTGGCGCAAGATTATTGTAAAATTTCATGTTTTTCGCCTCGTTTTGCATGTTTCTCGGAATCAAAATGAGCAAGAACGCTCGTTTTTACAT